CAGCATCATTAAGCCCCATCATGCTCGAGGGTGGACTTCAAAGGAGCCTTTAGACAGAATCACTGGAGTTTATACCATTAATTCACCATAACTGAATGCCTGAATTGCCAACACCAAATTTTAGCCCAGAATTAAAACTGCATGGCAGTTGCACGAGATAAATGGGACACGTTAAAGGTTAAAGAAAAAGGCACAGCAGAACTTACTCCCAATAAAGAACCATATAGTGAAGTTGCACCAGAGTTGAAGTAAAGATCTGGTCACCAGGGGGGATTCTGGTTAAAGCCCCTGGTATGTCTCCAACTCACTGTGGTATTTCAAGCACGTTCCTCAATCCTCAGACTCTACACTGTGGAAGGGATATTGCACTAGGTGCTATGGTCAGGGAGAGTGCTGCAGCAGCTCACACCTGTAAATGACTTGAGGGATCAAAGCAACTGCCTGACAATGCCAAGCAAACTCTGGATTTACTCTGGGCCCCTGCGGTCGCTGGGTCCGGTCTCGGAGCAGACACCATCCCCAGCACAGGTACCTGAAATCTTTGGAGAGGAACTCCTCCAGTCGGGGCCCATTCTTTCCCAGCGGGTCGTCTGGTATCATGAAATAATCTTCAACAAATGTGAACTGTAGGAGCCTGTGGACACAACAGTACGGATTCACCAGTAAGCTGCTCAAAGGGTGAGCAGAGGGATTTTTTTGTTTGTTTGAAACTGTTTGCCCTAACCCAAAAGGTGCACTAGTCTTAGGACTATAAGATAGGCTACAAAAACAAACAAACCAGAAGAGCTAAAATATACTGATCGCTTGATCAGCTGCTTTCTGATCCTGAACGGTGTTCTTGTTACTGATTGTGCCCATCAGTTTCCCGAGACAGTACTGAACAGAGGCTGTAGACTGACATGATCTTTCACCAAGAGAAGTTCATGACTAAATGAGAGTAAACTGAGCAACACCCAACAAGAGTTGGAAGACCACGTCCCACTCCAAACACAAGGTAACTTCTTCGACTTTGTGATGAAAGTACGGTCCGACCGATTCATGGAGACTGACCTCTTTTTTATAATCTCCTTCCATGATTCTGACATGCTCACGAACTCCTTTAAATTGTCATTGGTCACAATGATGCCTCCTGTCCTCTCTGCCAAGTGCAGGAGAAACCTGCGAAGACAGAAACGGGGAGAGGGCACGTCATTTCGGCTGGGGGTAGCCGCGAGAAACCCGCGCCCAAGACACAGCACTGGGGGGGGGGGAGAGACTCGCTCCCGGCGCGGTGACTAATTTGAATACAAGGCGTGTGTGAACGTTTCTTCCGAAACCCAAAAATGTTTCATGACACTGAAATGAAAAAAAAAAACAAGCCTTATCTCTTTTTCACTCTGAGGCAGATCAAAACCAAGCATGTATTCAAACAGAGAGGGCCCAGAGACCCCAGCCTGTCATAGCAGTCGGACCCCATGTTCCCGGCAGGCAAGTGGATACTGAGAGCAGTCTAGCAAGAACACACCTCCAAACAGGCCTGACGCATGACGGGTGAATGAGCTAACTGAATTAAGATGATTAAGGAGCTCAGGAACAAGTAAAGGTTTATTCCATGCAGAAAAGAGGGGAAAAAAAGACAAGATGTCACACCTGAAGAGGACTCCAGTTGAGAATCTCAGTTAAAGTTAAACAATTAAAAACCAAAATAATAAAACCATCTTAATTACAGAAATTGTATATACAGAAATGTTTTTCCACACGATGGAAATTTTGTCTCTCGCTGGAAGAAAGGTGAATTTCAATATTACCTAAGCCTAAACGTGGTTTCTTTTCTTCTCTTTTCTGCACGGAATAAACCTTCACTTGCTCCTCCGCGAGCGGACGCAGCCCCCTACTTGAATTATTCAGGGGCTCAGCCACCTCGGAGGACGAGCGGGTTCCCCGGCGGCCCCGTGCCGAGGGACACCCCGAGACGGAGGCGCGCAGGTGCGCTCACCTGTCATCGTGCGAGGCAATCCTCTGGCCACACACCTCCCTGGCTGGGGTGAACGACAGCAGCCTCAGGGCCTCCAGCTGGGTTAGGAAATGCTGCTCTGTGGAAACAAGGACACCCCGAAAACCTGAGCGGACCTCGAGGGCCCCGTGCACAGCTTCCGCACACCCGAGCACAAAAATCCCAGAAGTACCCCTTCAGGTCAGAGACGCGCGAGATGAGGAAGTGAACGTTCGGGCTGTGCTATTTGTTTCTGCGCTGCCGAACGCTGCTCGATGACACCCCCGACTGCCGCGAGTGCAGACTGGGTCTGGTCAGGGTGCTGTTCTACGACGGACGGGCCAGTGGGGGGGTGGGATCCCGAATCTGCGTGCCCGGCAGACACACCTGTAGTGAGGGGGTCCTTCTTCATCCTCCACTGCGGCACGAACACGGTGATGTCCCTGTGGCCGCGCTTCCAGAAGGACTCCACAGCAATGGCGATCCCGCGGCAGGAGAAGAATCTGTGCAGCCCGTGCCTGAAAGGACAGGATCGGTCGATCAGGGGGGCTCCTGGGGTGACCCCTCCACCCCTCCCATCTCGGGGGGTCCGGGGAAAGAAGGTAGCAGCCGGAACCAAGAAAGCAGGGGGATGAGATTAATAATAATTTCTTACACTTCTATAGCGCTTTTCTGGACACTCCACTCAAAGCACTTTACAGGTAATGGGGATCCCCTCCACCACCACCAGTGTGCAGCCCCACCTGGATGATGCGCCGGCAGCCATAGTGCGCCAGAACGCTCACCACACACCAGCTCTCAGTGGGGAGGAGACCAGAGTGATGAAGCCAATTCATAGATGGGGATAATTAGGAGGCCATGATTGGTAAAGGCTGATGGGAATTTGGCCAGGACACCAGGGTTACACCCCTACTCTTTTCGAGAAACACCCTGGGATTTTTAATGACCACAGAGAGTCAGGACCTCGGTTTTATGTCTCATCCGAAGGACGGCACCTAGGGGACCATGCCACACAAGTATGGGGCAGCCCTAGGTGGTCCCCCCATCATCGCTGTAGTTTCCCCCTTCTCTGCTCTGGACCTGACCTGGAGGAGGGACATGCAACTGGATCAGCCCGCAGGTGTGGGCAGCCAGCTGGGTGGGCAAGGTTTCCTGCCTGAGGGAGCGAGGTGGGCTGTGAAACCCTGCACAGAGAGGCTCTGTGGGCCTGGACCATGACCCCCCTGACCTCAGCAGCCTGCCGGGAAGAGCCCCCCCGCTCTCGCCAGCTCCCAGGGCATGATGTCATCTTCAAAAGCGTTATCTCTCTGCGCGATGCGAAGCTGCGCTAAAAAGCAGAAACTTCCGCCTGCGGCGCGGTTTGACTATGCAGCCCCCTGCTTTGCATTTGACCGATAAGAGCAAAACACGGGAACTTTTACCAACGCACTTGAGAAAAAAAGGTGAAAAGAGGCAGTGATGCAATTTACTGGAACAAAAATAGCCGTACTGTGAATCTGCAGCGATGGCAGACTCGGCGCTGGCCCGAGCGTCTGACAGACGGGAGGGGTGAGTGAGAATATCTGGGTCATCCAGAGGGGCTTCCCTTTTGAGGAGAAAGTGATCTTAAAAACAGGAAGTGTTACGAAACCCTGCGAGAATGACGTGCTCAAGAAAAATTTACCCTGCGAAGCTACCAAAAAAAGAACTAAAAAAATAATAATAATCACACCACATCAATCAAAAAACACTTGGTGAGGTGAAGTACCGATTTGGAAACTCCTCCCTTTGTACTCCAGCGTTACACTGTGCTTCAGACAGAAGACACGCTTCCCCCTTTTACAGGACTCAGTCTGAGTCTCCTGCAGCCGGAGATGGCAAGAATGAGAAAAAACGCGCCGGGGCAAGTGTGCAAAACCTGATCTTTATCTGCAAGATCAGCAGATAGCCTTGCCACCTCCAGAGCGCACACAAAGCAGTTCAAGGTAAAAAAACGCCAAAAAACGCCAGCTTGCATTTCACTCGCCGAGACCGAAAGGTTTCGCAGAGAAGCACGGGGTGGGAGCCATCACAGCTGCCTCCTCACAGCCCCCGGCTCGCACTTCTCATAACCCACTGCAACACGTTTCCCAGAAAGAAAGAAAACAACACAGAGAGAAAGAAAAGGCAAGATCTACTCCAGGAAACGGTGAATCAGACTGATCTTCCAATCTGAGTCGCGCCGCGCTGCCCCCGCC